CCAAACAAACAAACAGCCAAACAAACAAACAGCCAAACAGCCAAACAGCCAAACAGCCAAACAGACAGACAGACAGACAGACAGACAGACAGACAGACAGACAGACAGACAGACAGACAGACAGACAGACAGACAGACAGACAGACAAACAAACAAACAAACAAACAAACAAACAAACAAACAAACAAACAAACAGACAGACAAACCAATCAACAAACAGACAAGTAAATAAACATGTGACTAAAATAATATGCGAACAAACGGACAAACAGACAAGTCAATCAACAAGCAACAAACAGACAGGTAAATAAACATGTGGCTGACATGCAAACAAACGGACAAACAGACAAACCAATCAACAAACAGACAAGTAAATAAACACGTGATTTTGTGTTCAATATATAGACCACAGTAAGACTTTTTTAAATGTTTATTTCATTAACAAACGACGTTTCGGAGATTTACTCCATCTTCAGGTAGGATTACAATTTGAATTTAAACTAACATGCGCATGCATAAACGTTAAAATTGCGACCGTTATTCGCGCGTGCGAAATTGCGTAAGCATATAAATTACGTGCACGTGTCCGATTAATTCTAATAAAAATTAGAAATTGTTAATTCTGTCTTTAATGTTTAAACTACGAATCTAAGACATTTAACTGTTCGTATTTTCCATTCAAGTCTGGATTAAGCTTTTGGATGAATAATGCTTCGGTAATTTTCCGTTCTACAGATCCTTTTGTTCTTACAGATCCTTTGTTCTACAGATCCTTTGCACGTGCACGTAATTTATATGCTTACGCAATTTCGCACGCGCGAATAACGGTCGCAATTTTAACGTTTATGCATGCGCATGTTAGTTTAAATTCAAATTGTAATCCTACCTGAAGATGGAGTAAATCTCCGAAACGTCGTTTGTTAATGAAATAAACATTTAAAAAAGTCTTACTGTGGTCTATATATTGAACACAAAATATACTAATAACATGAGACTTAGGGAAAGTTCGTTCCTAAACATTTTGAAGAAACATGTGATTGATATGCAAACAAACAGACAAACCGACAAAACTTGTCTGTTTGTCCGTTTGTTCACATGTGTACTTATTACTTGTCTGTTTGTTATTACGGGCCGACCATTTAATTTGGGAGAG